TAATTAGAACTGGCATTGTTCACTGTGCATTCTGTTTGCGCACTAATCAGTTTAAAAATAGTTTCGTTTGTAGGAATCTGACTTACCTGTTGACCCCAAGTGTATCTACTCCGAAATAGCCACCAATTAATAGTGGTTTGTGCACTGCATTGCGGTAGGCACCTAGAGTGCATTAGTGCATATTGTGTACAGTGTTGTAGCTTATGAGCGACGAGTAGGACACTAGAGAGGACGACCGGATCTTATGATCGGCAAGGCGCCCAATTGCCCACTTTAGGACCAGAGGGCGACAGGTACCTGTTCCGCCAGCGTAGAGAGAGGTTGCAACAGCAGAGGAGGGCTAGAGCAGCAGAGGCTAGCAGGGCATTGAGTGAAGCCGCAGCTTCGGAAGCCATGGCCACCTCTGCGCAACACACTACTCAGGCCGGTTGTTCAGGATCTGTCGGGTCAACGGTCGCGCAAACTCAGAGTTAGTCCACTGGCGTAATGGCAAGCCAGCCAATAGTGTTGACCCCCGATGAGATCGCCATACAACAAGCAACATTGTAGGAGGCACAATTATAGAAGGCTTTAGGAGAGATAAAAGCGGAGAGGGAAAGGATGATTAGAAGAAGAGTAAGGATGCAGCGGAGACAAGCGGACGTCAGTTAGTTAGCGGAGATGGACCTGACGCACGTGCCCGATGATGCGAGGACCATACGGTCAGTCCTGCTAAACATAGTGGAAATGCAGGTCCATCAGACAACAATCCTTCAGGACATTCAGCAAAGTCTGGCCTTGTTGGCTGGGCGAGCGCAGGCAGCGCCATCAATGTCCGAGCCTGGTCAGTCCTGCTAAACGTGGTGGAAATGCAGGACCATCAGACAACAATCCTTCAGGACATTCAGCAAAGCCTGGCCTTGTTGGTTGGGCGAGCGCAGGCAGCGCCATCAATGTCTGAGCCTGGTGCCTGGCCCTTTGTACAGCCTCCTCCTTTTGTCCCACCGGTGACTGGGGTTTCCCCATATGTAGCCCCATCATCGGTCGTGATCGTTTCCTTGGGCATGCCACTAATAGGAGGGTTATCAACAGGATCTAGTTTGCAGGTTCCTGTACAGACAGTGTTTACCCAATCTCCGTTGCAGGTTGCGGTTACCACGCAACCTGCTATCTTGCAGCCTGTACAGTTGCAGGTTACACAACCCCAACAGCTAGCATAGCAGCTTGTGTCAAGGGTCCACAACCCGGAGTGATGAAGGGACCGGGACAAACACAGTGGGTACCAAAGACGGTCATCGCCGCTCTTAAACCCTTCAAAGGGGATAAGAGAGGGGAAGACCTCGACATTTGGTTGAGGGCAGTGTCGGTCTATGTCAAACCGCAGGAAGTGCTTCTGGCTGCATCTTACCTAGAGGGTAGTGCAGCAAGATGGTTGAGTGGTTTTGTTCAGCTACAGGGGTACGGTCATGACTTCCGCGCTTGGGCAGCCCACCAAAAACTGGAGGACTTCGTCAAGATGGTGGAAGAAAGGTGGCATGATCCTCAGGAGGCCCAAAAGGCCACTGATGCGATCTTGACACTGCACACAAGGCAGTTTAAGTCAATAAGGGAGGGCACCGATGCTGTAGAGCGTCTGATCTGTGTCCCTGGGCTGCGCTATGACCCCCAGGTTTTACTCACCTCGTACCTGAGATGTTTTCCAATGCCTCTCAGGAATTAGTTGGCAGGTGTGGCCAACATCAGCGTTCACAACTTCCCCTCGTTCAGCAAGAAGGCCCTAGACCTTGAAGCGAAGATAGGGCATGGACATAATCCCACAGCGGACGGTAGGAAGAAAACACTGCCTCCCAACTAGAAGGCGAAGGGGCATTATGTTTGTCGATAACGATGGTTCAACCATCAAGTTAGACGACAACTTCCAGGAAGGAGTAGGTTCAGAGGCTGGCAGCGTAGAAGCTTCAGTGGGTGGAGTAGTCGTTGTCGTAGCTTACAAAGGTAAGGCGACCCGTAGACGCCGTGGAGGTTTGCGGTTCAGGAGTCAGGTTGACCCCAATGCTCCTCCATGGGAGAAAGCGGGTCTTACAAAGGACGTGTGGAGAGATCGGTATACACGGCAGACCTGTATTCGTTGCGGTCAATATGGCCATAACCAATTCAAGTGCCGCAACAAGAAGGTGACCGATAAGATCCCGCCTACGACGGGCTAGGTGTTGGCATCCTCCGATCTTGTTGGTAGCAACGTAGCTAGTACTTCTGGTAGTGCTCTGGGAAACACGTCGGGCCAGTAGGAATAGTAATTGTTCCTGCTAGGGTCGAGGTTGTGGAGACACCCTCACTATCTCGAGAGATGGCCCAAGCTACTGACTCCAGCATCGTCCCACAAACATGTTCAGACTCATCGACGCTCTGTTCGATGAATGTGTTTGAGTCCTTAGAGGAGCCAGATGCATTGTAACCGTTGTGAGCTGTTGTGCGCAGCAAGTTCTTTGTTGCGCCAAGCAGCTTGCTTCGACAGTTAAGTTTTTCAAATAATTTTTTTTTTTCCCTTTGGATCGGTCCATACATCAGGAACATCATCCGTTCTGAGCTGCTGCGCTCAACAAGTTCTTGGCTGCGCAAAGCAGCTTGCTTTGACATTTAAGTCTTTCAAATCAAAATTTCTCTCCCCTGGATCGGTACACTCACAAGACCAGATGCATTGTAACCGTTGTGAGTTGTTGTGCGCAACAAGTTCTTGGCTGCGCCAAGCAGCTTGCTTCGACAGTTAAGTTTTTCGGAAAAAAAAAATTTTCCCCTCGATTGGTCCATATATCAGGACCAGATGCATTGTAACCGTTCTGAGCTGCTCTCGTCGAGTCTTCCACCACTTTCGTCCCCGGTCAGTTAAGCCTTTGACTCGGCTTAGTCCGGCCCATGCATCCCCTCTCAACCATTTCGTTGGCTATCGTAGTGCCCCTCTCGTGGACCCACACCCCGTCCCCAATTTGCAAGGCCCTGCTAGCGCTGCTCCCTCGCACGCCTCCTCACCTCGGACGTGCTAGCCTCACATTTTTGTCTGCCTCCTTTCCCCTCCTCCGAGAGCCGAAGCGTGGGCCCCTCTTCTTCGCATCCATCGGTCCCAAATCATCCAGCCCATCCGGTTGCACTACCGTGCCCCAACACCTCTATGGGTTGAATCGCCTTCGCACCGGGATCGACGTCAGGGTCTCCCAAACTTCTTTCCTGCGCAAAAGCGGTCGAGTCTGAGCCGATCGCCGAAAGGTGGTTGCCTCTAGCCGGTGGGGACCCATCTCATCTCCTGCGGCAAAGATGCCATTGTGTTGTCCTTGTCGTACCTTAGTTGACTGCTTCCTCCCCTTTCATTCGGGCGCACAACGATCCCCCTGCCGACCCGATCATAGCCGCGTCTCTCACCTGGGCCAGTCCTGCAGTTGTGCTCAGCGAGAGCACACGTTTCATCCCCCGTTTCTTCATGGGCCTACCCTTAGCAGCAACACCAGCCGTTCGCTCGTCGCTTCCCGTGCAGTGCATTGAAATCTCTGTTTTTGGTTCGCCCTTGGCCCCACTTATGACCTCGCGCTGATCGCCTTCATTCCTGCTTGTTCCAACGTTAGTACAAAATGAAAAAGAATAAAATCCCCCCCACACCCCTCAAGCCTCAGGCACTCACCCCCCCAATCATGCAAGAACTAAGGAAAGCAAGCAAAAAAGGAATCGGTTTTGGTGGAAAGGGTGAGCTCGGCTGGTAGACAGCCGCCCAACACCGTATCCAGCCCAGGGCCTGCTTTCCATACCTTCACACAAACGGTCCAGGGCCTGGGTTCTCTCAACCAACTCGCGCTGCGCAACTGCCTGAATTTCCTCGAGTTGCGTGGTGACCAAAATAGGGCCCTCACGCCCTTGTCGTGCCTGCCTTCACTTAGGGCGGCCGACGTGATACTTTGTAGGGCCTGGAAGGGGCTCATGGGGGCATAAGCCTCGCATTCCCTCCTCCATAACTTCGCTAGTCCTCTGAGAAGTTCAATCTTCGATGATCTGGCGCTTTCCCTTTTGCAGAGATTTCTCATATTGAGCTACGATCTAAGGAGCGGTCTGCATGAGTTCCTCCCTAGTGAACCAGCGGTCCTCCCTTGGATCAAGATGATGTCGGAACCGAACTCGGTACTGCAGCTTCGGTTTCGGAGGACATCCCCTGCCTGTTGGTCTTGGAACGGGAAGCGCCCTGTGATCCACAATGTCGTTTATGTCCACCTCTCCATCCATGGTTGGAGGTAGCATTGAGCGTTGAGAAGGAAACTGATATGTTTCCTTGAAAGGTGCAAGCTTGGAGGCGTGAAAGACAGGGTAAGTGCGTAAGTGACCAGGGATGCGAGTAACATAAGACGGGCCATCCGGTTCATCCCCTACAACATCCAATACTTCCACGGTCCAAAGTACTGTGGCATGAGCTTGTGGGATATCCCATGCTCCTGTCCCAGTTATGAGGATTTAACTCAGACTCTCTCTCCTACCTGAAACGTAGATGGGCGGCGGTGTTTGTTCTCAGACTCTATCATCGCCGCCTGTACCTTGTGCATCTGTTCGACAGCCTGCTGCATCAGCTGCTCATATGGATAAGCAAACTCTGAAGTCCCAGGTGCAGCAGTTGACTGATTGTGAGGTAGTATAAAGTCCAAAGGCAGTCAGGGTCTGAAAGTTTGTAGCAGGCTGTTAGGATTGACTTCGGTTGCGCTAAGCACAACGTTATTGTACAAAATTGCGATGAGAGCAAGTTTCTCATCCCAGTCTACCTGATTTGGCTTGATGTAATGCCTTAGCAGGTGTTGTCCAGCGCAAATCATTTGTTCAGCCTGCCTGTTTGCCTCAGGATGGTTGCCTGATGTCATCTGCAATTGCGTACCTTGCTCTGCAGCTGCTGCGTTCCACAACTCACTTGTGAATCTGACATCCCTGTCACTAACTATGGACTTAGGTAATCCAAAGTCTCTAACCCAATTCTCTTTGAACATCTTAATCACATACTCCGTTTTAGCTGTTGCCGGCATTGCAACTAATCTAGCAAACTTATAAACCTATCCACAATGACGTGGATGTAGCGCATTCCACTCTTGCTGGTGACCAGTGTATCCATGAAGTCCATGGACAGGCTCTCACCAGGCCCTTCCGAAATCGGAAGGGGCTTCAGGAGCCCAAGAGGAGCCCGAGTACGTGGTTTGTCTCTGAGACGGACCTGACAAGTCTCTATGTACAACTTAGCATCTTTCATCAATGTGGCCACCAGAACTGCTGCAGCAGATTAGCCGCAGTCTTCTTGAACCCAAAATGTCCTGTGGCATCATGACATTCACCTAAAAATAAACTACGCAAAGACTCCCTATTAGACACACACAATCGTTTATTCCCTGCCTTCTCAAGGAACAACAGGCCGTTGACCAACTCAAACTCGGCAGAAGTTCCTTTGTCCTTCGCCTCGAGTCTGCGTATGATCGCGGCCATAAACGGGTCCTCGGGATAGGCTTCCACCAAAGACCGAGTAACATTGTCCGCAAGATTGAACTCAGCAATTAGAGCACCTAAGAAATCTGGTCTACGCGACAAGGCGTCAACAACCTTGTTGTACTCGCCCTTGATATACTGAGGCTCAAAGTCATACTGCTCAATGACTTCGATCCAACGCTTGAGAGCGTCAAAGACTTCGTAATGCGTCAACGCATGCTTCATATGTCTGAAAGCAGCCTCGCATCTCTCAATCCATTCCCATTGGGTGTCAAGGCGGGTCAGATCAGTCAAAGGGGCGACAACTATGCTGTAGTTCGTCACGAAGTTGCTATAGTAGCCGGTCATTCCTAAGAAAGATCTCATCTCAGTCACAGACTGACGACGCGGCCAATCACAAATGTTGGCCACCTTCGGGTCATCGGGCTTCGACCCTTCTGCAGAAATCTCATGACCCAAGTACAACACAGGGGTGCGGCCAAACTCGCACTTCTCATCGTTAATCTTGAACTTGTGCTGTCGCAGGAGACTGAGAACTTTGTCCAAGTGCGCAACGTGCTCCGCGACAGTCTTACTAAAAATAAGTATGTCCTCGAGGTACACGATGACAAACTTATCCAAGTAGTCATCGAATATCCGATTCATAGCGTGTTGAAAGGTGCCAAGAGCATTGCAAAGGCCGAAAGGCATCACCACAAAGTCGTATAGACCGTACCTGGTATGAAATGCGGTTTTGTGTTGATCCTCGGGCCGGATTGCAATCTGATGGTACCGAGACTTCTGATCTATCTTACTGAAGTACCAACACTCTTGCACTCTATCAAGCAAATCGTCGATGCGCGGTAGGGGCTCTCTGTATAGTCAATGCACATCCTAAGTGTTCCCTCCTCCTTAGGTACGAACAGTACTGGAGTCCCATAAGGAAAGACGCTCGGCCGGATCCAACCCTTCTCTACGAGTTCCTTGAGTTGTCGGCGAAGCTCATCAAGCTCGCCTGGAGACATCCGATAGATCCTACCCTTCGGGATGCTAGACCCTGGGATAATCTCTATTGTGTGGATGACCTCCCTCTCTACAACCCCTGTCGGCTCTTTAAATAGGTCAGGGTACTTGGCAAGTACTCCCTCTATCTCTGGCGGCATTTTCACCGCCTCGCTTGCAGCAGAGACATAAACTAAGTACATACCCTCCTCCTGATTTTGCTTATAATAGTTATAGAACGCGGCGCACACATGCATCCATGGGACTCGATCAGACTACTAGCTTTGGACTTGTGGAATCTGATTGTCCCTCCACCTAGCAAAGTGTGTTTGACCACTTTTTGGTCCAGTCAAATTGGGGCTGTGCCACAGAGTGGTAGTACATACCTAACAACATGTCCATGGGGAGTTCATCGCTCACTAGGAACGAGACGCGATGTTTCAATTCCCCTCCCGCGTACGGGAAACAACACTCCACATTTTGGAGGTGTTCATTGACTACCATGCGCTGTTTGTTGGCACAGGTCACTCAAACGATGCACTTGCCCCTGTAAGTGCAGCCTCTCAACGCACACGCGACTAATAAAATTCCTAAATGAGCAAGTTCCATAATAGGCCCCGGCCTTGAGGCCGCCAATGACCACCTCGCTGACCCACGAAAGAGGTAGCACGCGCAAAGCGCACGCCCAGGTCTGTGCTTGGGGCACGTAGCGAACTCCGGAGCGCCGCGCTCGGTACGGCAAGAACGGGAAAGAGAGAGAGAGAGAAAGGGGGAGGGACGAAGAGTGCGACCAGAGAGAGGGAGAGAGAGGGAGAGAGAGAGGGGTTGAGTGAGAGAGACAATGCTGGCGCTCTGCGAGGAGGTCATCGCACTGGCGCTTATTCGTAGCGACCACGATTGAAGCTTGGTGATGAGCTCTTCGCTAGGCGTGTGCTCTCTGCGACTGCGATTGGAACTGGGAGACGAGCTCTCCACAGGCGCTTGTGCACAACGACTGCGATAGGAGCTTGTCGATGAGCTCTTCGCTCGGCTCTTGCTTGCTGCGAACTTGGCGAGGTGCTCATTGCTCAGCGCTTATGCTCGGTGACCGCAAATGGGACTCAGTAACCAGCTTTTCGCTCCGCACTAGCGGCCCGCTATCACGAGCCTAACTGGGTGACGAGTTCTCTGCTCCTTACTTGAAGCTCTGCGATTACGAACTGACCTTGGTGAGGAGCTTGTCACTCCGTATGTGTCCCTTGCTCTGGACTCGGTGACCAGCTCATCTCGTGGTGGCAGTACTCGTTCACGGTAGAGCTATTCAGATCTTTCGCTCGAAGGTTCAGTTCACGGCAAGGCCGCTTGCTTGTGCTAAAGCGCGACTGAGGTACGCGGTTGTCTCTATTGTAGTGCTTAGCCAAAAAGGCCATGTCCGGTTCACGGTGAAGTCGCTCGCTTGTACTCGTTCACGGCCAAGCTTTTCAATTCTTTTGCTCAAAGGCTCAGTTTACGGCAAGGTCGCTCGCTAGTGCTGTATAGCGGCTGAGCTACTCGGTTGTCCCTGTTGCAGTTCTTAGCCTAAACGGTCCTGTTCAGTTATGGGTAAGGTAGCGTGTTTGTTCTCATCCACGGCCAAGCTATTAAGTCCTTACGCTCAGAGGTTCAGTTCACGGCGAGGTCTGTTGCTGTGTTCAAGCACGACTTAGCTATTCGACTGTCCCTTTTGATGTTCTAAGCCTCGACGACCCTGTCTAGATCACGATGAAGTCTCCTGCTTGTGCTCCTTCATGCCCAAGCCAGTCAGTTTTTTCTGCTCGAAGGTTCAGTTCACAGTAAGGGCGCTCGCTTGTGCTCAAGCGTGGCTGAGCTATTCAATCGTCCCTTTTAGATGTTCTTTGCCTCGATGGCCTTGTCCAGTTTACAGGTAAAGTCACTTGCTAATCACAGTCGTGCTCCCCAGTTGCTCCAAGTAAGGTCACTTGGTAATGCTCAATCAAAGTCGGGCCAGCTAGTTGCCCGTTTTCTCGAAGGCCCTGTTGGGTTCACAGAAAAGTCGCTCTTTTGTACTAAGTCACGTTCCAGCTATTCAGGGGCTCTCCTTTGCGCTTAACCGAAAAATCCCTTCCCCCTCCTCAAGCCTTTCGAAGGGGTAGGAGATAGGCCGGAGCAACTCGCAGAGGCGAGGGGGTGAGAATGGGGGTGCGCGAGTTACCATTGGTCGACTAGAAGGGGGGGTCCGCACAGCACTACCGACGAGCAACGAGGGGGGCGTGCACCAGGAGGTGGGTAGCCTTGGCGGGGATCCTAGAGGAGCGGCGGCAACAAGCGGTAGTGGGAATAGCTCACGCCGACAACGGGGACTGGGTCAAACACGGGCCAAAGGCAGTTGGGTGCATGCAACCACCTCAAGCCCAAGGCCTGTTCTCGTATGTGTTGGGCTACCAGGGCCTACTGGAAGCTTCCTGGTACTGAACGCAAGCAGGCCACTTCGATATAGCAAAGGGCCTGCCTCCACATTTGTCATTCGGGTGTTGGCTGCATGTTGCGCAAGCGCTGCTGCGTTGAAGCTCGCTGGCACTCACGCGCTCACGGGCGAGCAGGAAGGAGCAGGCAGCCATAGCCGAGCTGCTCTGCTGTGAGCTGGGTGTGGTGCAGGGTGGTCCTTGGGTGCAAGTGGCCTCTGTGTGTTGGGGAACGAGGTTGTGAGTGAGGCGAGAGACATACCTGGTGCTGGAAGCGTGCGACATTGGTCGCTGTATGCTCGTACTTCGGGAAAGTTGTTGACGTGATCATTCGGTATTGTAGTCTAGGCTAGATAGGATCTGCCATCCGTAGTCTGGGCGCCGAGCGCCAGATAGGATATCAACATTGGTTATTCATTGATGATGATGATGAGACTTTACCTGCATTGTCAATTATAAGTTCTTGGTTTCTTCTTATTTGGTGAACCTCGTGATGCAGTTCTCCTGTTGGTTCGAGGTCACGACTATCTGGTCTCGTGTATATGATGGTTTTTGATTGCTGAAGTTCGCTATTGCTCATCTTCCTTGCAGCTCTTTTAGTTCATAGGTATGTGACAATATATTCTCCGGCGTTGCTAGCCCTCTGCTTTTGCAGATTGAGCGGCGAGCGCCGGGCCTGTACAATCAGGCACTGCCTTTCTTACTGCCTGTTTAGTCGGAGTTTCACAGACTCATCAAGAGGCTGAACCCTCAACAGTCTGCAGAATCCCCTTATTCATTACATTGTAAGTGATAATATATATTCAGAGTCTGCCCGGTAAACCGCAGGCTGAGACGAAGAAGGGGATAACAAACGATGGGTGGTGACAAACTGTTTCGTTGGAGTTTCACCGACTCACGGTAAACCGTAGGCACAGAGAGAAAAGAGGACAACAAATGAGGGGCTGCAACAAACTGTTTCGTCGGAGTTTCCACAGGCTGAGAGGGAGATGAGGACAACAAACTAGGGGCCGTGACAAACTGTGTCATCGGAGTTTCACCGACTCATCAGGAGGCCGAACTCGCAACACTCTGCAGAATCTCCTCACTGATTACACTATAAGTGATAATCCACCTTAACCCCGGTCGTGGTTAAGCATCAACGACTTCTCAGCAACTGATACCCTGAGGTGGTCACCAACCACTGTGGTTAATCTTTCCACTTGCAAGAATGCTTTCCACTTTTTCTTTTTTCCACTAAGAAACTACTTGTGTGTGTGTGTTATGTTTTGCTGCGAGGCTTGTGTGACCGGGTCACAGCATGTTGCGTCATGACTAGTGCCCAAAGAACAACACCCCTGGCAGGGTTACATCGTATTGGGAAGATCCGTAATAAGACTTGACAAATTATGAACAGGAAGAAAGTAAAGGTCCATAGACACTCCATCGTCGAGATTCACAATGTTCAGGGCAAGGTCATACGCCATCAGACTTGCTTATTCTCGTCATCAGACCATACCATCGAGGAGTGTGGGTCATCGGTATTGCCTACGCACACTAGATCGATTGGTATGTACAACCCAACCAATAATCAGGCCCAAATCAAGCTATCATCAGGATGAACGATGAAAAAGGGGGCGGAAAACACATACATGCCACAAAGATTTCCGGAAAAAGCTTTAGCCTCTGGAGAAGGAATGGCGGTAACAGAGCAATACGAGAGAATGACCCAAGTAATAACGGTCAGAGTGGGCAATCACTTGTCATCAGTTCACCAAAAAAAATCGAGTTCTACAAGATTCACAACCCAATTATGGGAGGATTCAACAAACAGGTTCGGAACCACCCAGCATCCTTCATATGTAACATAAAGCCATTGGGAGCTACGGGGCGGATACGCCATTAACTCCCTTCACCCCTGCTCAAAGCCATACTCGCATCAAGCATTAATGCCCCTTGGGCATATAAAACGCTCCTCAATACTCCCGTTGCTGAAATACGGATAGCTGCACCCATCAACCTCGCTTCTCACCCTAGTTCATCCAATGCATCCACACTTTTTTTGTTTTTTCTTCCATGAGATCGAGTCACCCGAAGTCTGGCATCATATGACGCAGCCGTGCATATCTCCATCCTATCACGAAGCAAGTAGCAGCCGTACACCATTCCCACATGGACGGATTCCTCACCGATTAGCACCCAGTTAATTCTTATAGGACCCCCGTGCCCGTTCCCTTATCGAAAGATCGCCCTACGGGTGCAGATTAGGGATAAACACAGTCTCCCTCTGTCACATCCTCTTACTTCCAGCACCGTGAAAGGTGAAGGCGGTACATCGTATCACATAATCCATACCCGGAAGCCCTTTTCGTCCCCCACTCCTTTACCAAACACCATTGTTATCTTAATTTTGGTGAAGCATAACACTCCCTTACTCAACATGCGCCAAGGCCATACCTAGTCAGCGGACCCTTATCCCATTCGTCAACAAGAAATAGTCTATCGAAAAAAGCACACAGAGGTGGTCCCGTGAAAATGAGCACAACCGTCTACACTCTTAATATATACGGGCACCCAACGACCCATGGCTTGTGCAAATCAGTCCCAGTAGGCGGAAGATGGCCAGGATATTGCCAAGGCGATCCAGTATAGCTGCCTCCTGCAAGGCCGCCTTACCTGAAGGGAATGACACATCCCATATTACACACGTGGCAGACCGAGATATGGTTTCAAAAAACAGAGCAGAGCGACCGTAAGGAGAATTAGTCCGTGCAAGTAGCTTCCCAAAGTGCGCTTTTTTAGTTCATAGTTATGTCACCAGGGTCACCAGCCCGTATGTACGGAGGTCCTCGGGCTGACCTCCGTACGTACAGGCGTTCACGGTCCTGTTCGAGGTCCATACTCGACGGCGCTCGGCCCCCACCAAAAAATATTTTGGGCCCTAAAAATAAGGTTTTTTTTTTTGAATATTTTTTTGGCGAGTTCTCTATGATCAGAGGTACATGCCTATAAGTTTTGAAGTTATTTTGCCAAACGAAACAAGAAGTAAAAACGGCCAAAGATGGTGGTGTCGAAACGTGCTCGCCCACTCACTATTTTGTTTTTTTTTAGTGTTTACCTGTGTAGCACACCGAACATGTTCGGAGCTTTTCCGAACGTCTGAACATGTTCGGGTGTTCGGCCGAACGCCACCCGAACGTGTTCAGCCGAACATACTCAAAAAAAAAAAAAAAAAAAAACTTTTTTTTTTGGTTTTTGATTTTTAACTCGAGTTTGGTTATGAATTTGACCATACTTCCAAGGCAAAAGTTGCTTGTATTATTTTTTTACATCACATATATTTTTTCAGATTTTTTGGAGAACTTTTTTTTTTTTTTTTTTTTTTTTACGTTCGCGTTCGGAAAGTTTCGGTGCTCCTTTGCGTTCGGTTCCGAACGCTCGGGTTCAGTCACCAAACCCGAACACAATGCTACATAGGTTTTTACTTTTTTTTTTCAGTTTATTGCGGGGCCTAAACAATTTTATTATTGTTTGAAACGTTTTAAATGAGTTTTGTATTATGTGAAGCGTTTTCGACACTGGCATCTTTGGCAATTTTTTTTTTTTTTTTTTGGCATAGCCAAATGCCCTGAAAATTCACAGATGAGTACTTTTTTTTATTGTTATTATTAGTTTTATTTGCTGTATTTTATTTTTATTTCAAATTTGGTAAGGAATTTGGATGTAATGGTCAGGCAAATGTTGTTTATTTTAGTCTTCTTTATAACATTTCTTTTTTCAGATTTTATATATATATATATATGGTCCGCGTTTGACCCGAACGGCTGAACGCATCCCCAAGGATTCCGGTATGTTCGGGCGTTCGAGTTCAGGCGTTCGGCCCTTCCTGAATGCTGGTTGCCCTGTATGTGACAATATATATTTAGAGAGAGAGAGAGTCGGTAAACGTCAACACAGGTACCCTGCGCACGTGACCCGCCTCTCGAGCTGGTTCCCCAGCGTGCTTCGATGGTCTATTCATCACCCGCTTTCTCGGGTATCCACACACTGTCCTCGGACTACGCTTGTCACTTTCCCTTCTTCATTATCGGCACCTGTCACACCTATCACAGCCTCTTCTTCATTACTTGCGTCTACTGCACCTGCGTCCTCGTCAGTCTTAGTAACCCCTTCCATGTCGTTTGTGACCCTGGCTGCTCCTTTTCGGTTTGCAGCCTCTTCCTCATCGGCCTTGGTTGCTTCTATGATTGATTCCGCGGGAGCGACTCGACCCGCAGCTGCTGTGTCGCCCTTGGTATCGATGTGTTCCTCCATGGCATCAGGTGCCACGACAGCTGTTGTGTCGCCCTTGGTCTCGGTGTGTTCCTCCATGGCATCCGTGACCACCTCAGTTGCTTTGTCGCCCTTGGTCTTGGTGCGTTCCTCCATGGCATCCGTGGCCATGCTTGCATTACCACCTGCAAAGTCCCCTCTTCGGGTCTCACCTACGATTGGCGCCCCTGTCTCTGCTTCAGTCACTTCACCACCCTTGACTTCATCCCCCCCGTCTTCACCACCTATATTTCCCCTAGTTTTATCGCCGTCTGTTACCCACCTTATGACAACTCTACCACCCCTGTCTTCACGACTCCTTGTCTCCATCCGTTACCCCCCTTCCTAATCCACAAACCACTTCGTCCACACAAACTCCGTCATCATGTTCTGCCCCTGCACAAAGCCTGCTTCGCCGTCCTAGACGCCAACTTTGACCTACTTTCCAACCTCAGCTTACTGCCCTTTCCTCCATCTCTGTTTTTGGACGAAGAAGAACTCGTTCATTCTCCCCACCACGACCCTCCCCAACATCCCGTCCTCGTCTTTTGCCGCCCCAACCATCCTTACCACGCCTGCAACGCTCTTCGACTGCAGACCTTTGTGCAACGCGGCAAACACAAAACAGGAGGGATGATGGCGAGGGGCTATCCGAGGATGAACTTGGCAAGGGGACTGTAGGAGATTCTGTAGAAAATCCGCCTGACTGGCCTCCACCGAATCTGTGTGGTTTCGCTGCTACTAACATCTGCCTGCAAGCCTATCGTTGGGAACCATATACTCAATCTGATTTCTTGGCCATTGCCTCCGATCTTGATGCTCAGGAACGTGAGTTATATGGTGATAACCTGGCTCTGCATCTCCCACAGGATAGTCATTACACTCGAAATGGGGGATTCAATGTCTCTGTTTTGGAGACTGCTTTGATAAGGCGCCGGCTTGATATGCAGTGTTCCCCTTCGGGTGATGACCCGGACCACTTTTCGCATGTTTGTGCCTATATTCTACATACTCCAGGCCACTACACCGCTCTTGTCCGTGCCTCTGGTTCTTGGGAATTATGGAATGGCGGTGCTATGGTGCAAACTATTACTGCCATCTGTGATCTCGTGTGTAATTACCCTAACCTGCAACTGATCCAGGTCATTGACCCTATGGGTACCTCGTGTACTTCCATGCCCGCCTCTACGCCTATCTCTGTGCCTGCCTCCGTACCTGTCTCTGTGCCTGTTTCTGTGTCTGTCGCCTTCCAGATTACCGACTTTGTGGGTACTACGCGTACTTCCGTCCCCGCCTCTGCACCTGTCTTTGTGCATGCCTCCACACCTGTCTCCATGCCCGTTTCTGTGTCTGTCTCCGTGCCTACCTCCATGTCTGTCACCGTGCCTGCTTCAGTCTTCATTCCCCCACATGGTGCAGTAACACCTTGTGACCTCCTTCTTTGTGAGATCACTGACACAGTTACACTTGGTTGTGGAAAGCATCGACTTTGTCGACATCTCTACAACTGTATAATTTTTCGGGCCCGCTGTCGGCAGGGATGCCACCTGTATCCGGATTGTGAACATCCTCTACATCCAGATGCAATATGTCCCATCTGTGCTGCGGGCGCTATAGTGAATGTGCACTTAACTGTGATGTTGAACGCCCCACAATCGTCATGGCCTGCAACCGGCATGCCCATTGTCGTGCATGCTTTAGAGATACGGTTAATGCTAGACGCCCTGGCTCCTGCTCTGACGAAGTTGCTTACCTGAATGGTTTTCGTCCTGTAGATCAGCAGAAGGGATGCTACCATCGCCCGCATCCTTATGACAGTTGTCCTAACTGTCGTGAGGGTCTTACTTACACGTACCTTGCACCCTGACAAAAATGTGCAGGTGCGCTGAAAAGAGTGTACAACAATGTGCAGAGGTGGGGAACCCTTCACTAAAACTGCAAAACTGCGAGAATGTAGTAAAAGAAGAACATAAGTTTGCATCATCTTACTTTCTTTGTACCCTGCACCCTAACACCCTAAAAAGAAAAGTCCGAAGGGTGAAAATGAAGATGGGAAATGAAGAAGGAAGTGCAGGTAAGTGCGGTGAAAAGTGAACGTGGTAGACTCTTCACCATAAATGCGGCGCACTACGGTGCGCTGGTTTGCGCGCAAGCAGCGCACGTAGCGCCGCGCACCGCGGCGCCCCTGAAAAATAGGAGTCTGCCAAAATTTTTTTTTTTTTTCGGTTTTCGTTAGCAAGGCGGGCCCCCCCCGGGCAAAAATGAAGGTCGGGCCGCGCGATTCCAGAAACCGGTCGCGCCCCGCCTCCGAAATCCCTTTTGGGGAAAGGGCCTGCCGATTTCGATATTTTCGAAATCGACAGACCCTTCCCCCAAAAAAAATTTCGGGCAAGGGGGACAACATTCCGATCTTGGAGCGGGCACCGAAGGCAGGAGGCAGCGCAGGGAAGGGTGGCGAAGGCGAGAAGCTGCGCGGGGCGGGAGACAGACGAAGGGGGGAGTGTTACATACTCCAATGAGTATGGGCAGAACCAAGAATCAACCAATGAAGGATGAGTATAGATGCAACGAAAGTCTGATAGATGGACTGACGCACATATACTGACTCACATAGACTGACTCACATAGCATCACTCCACACACATTCAATCATGAGATGGTGGGGTCTGAGCCATACATAGAAGATGCTCAGCCCCGTACACACATACRCAGATGAATGGGGGAGGAGAGACGAAGAGGTGGGGGRAGGTAGACRRCACCGAAAGTCACCGAGGTAGAATYYRATAGGTCACCGATATGGTAGTCCAAAATGTCGYCCAACAAGATCAAAATGTCGAGGACCATARGTSACCAATGTCGGGGATACAGAGTCCAAATGTAACCGGTGTCTGAACTGTGATGTCRCCAAGTATCAACCCCAACAATCTCCAAGTCTCCAATCTGGTAAGTACCACAGTCTCATATCACCGAAGTCCAACTCTGATCTCTGTCCAACTAGCATAAGTCTCTAGTCTAAAGAAGAAGAGGAAGAAGAAGAAGATGATGAATAAGAAGAAGAAGAAGAAGAAGAAGAAGAAGGAGGAGGAGGAGGAGGAGAGAGAGAGAGAGAGAGAGAGAGAGAGAGAGAGAGAGAGCTGACGAGGGAGGGAGGACAGGTCCTCTGACTCCCAGGTACCACAGGCGGTAATGGCCGCTGTGCTGGCTCAGTCGCCCTGCTGTTGCTCCGCTTGCTGCTGCGCTAATGCTGCGCTGCCGTTGCTGCTCCTTGCTCGCTCCTGTGCTAAACTTAGCGCATCAAAACAGCGCTCTGGCGCTGACCATACCGTACCGGTATAGTGCCGGTAGGTCGATGCCTCCAAGTGAGGTTGTACCGGTACTTTATACCGGTGGGGCAGAGGCCGGCCTCAATGCTGCGAGGCCTGGCCATGCCCTGAACCRTCCAGATGGACGGTTCAGCCCCAACCGGCGGGCGACAGCCTCAAGAGCGCCGCCAGGCCCAAACGATAATGCCGTTTGGGCCTGCCCGTCGGGTACTGGTCCAAGATAAGGCCCCGAGGGCCTGTACTATCCAAAGGTCGGGCCTTTAGGCCCTGATGTGTCCCTCCGGCCCTAAGTCGGATTTGGTAGGACCCGTGTGCGTCGAAGATGTAACACACTCCCCCTCTTAAAAGACCGAGCTACCTGCGAGGGCGAAGTTGTATGTCCAATACCGGGGTGGGTCGGGCGGGACGAGCTGCGTCCTTAGCAAGGCGTCGCTTCTCGTAGTCGGCGAATATGAGGGGTGCAGAAGTCTGTACTGAAGATACACCGAGTGTCATCAGGCGCACATTGCTTGAATGTGACTTTGTACTGCCTTGGCTTGTTGCCATACTTGCGGTGCGTGATGACTCGGTCAACTTCCTGATGTCCGTCCATAGAAGGCGGATCCTGTGATCGATGTCCGGGGAACTCGTCAGCTGAAGGTGGCGTGTAGATGGCCAGCTTTGATGCATGGAAGACCCGATGCACTGTCAGGTGCGGTGGAATGTTGATCACGAAGGAAGGACCTGCGGGGTCGTCTCCAACGGTAGAAGTGACTTCCCATGGTCCGAACCATTTCGGAAGGAGTTTGCGTGAAACATCCTGCTCGAGCGCAAATTCCTCGGAGAGGACAAGGACATGGAAGTCGACGTCGGTTAGCTTGTTGCTGCATGCGGATCTGAGCCTTTTGCATATTTGCGCGGGCTTTGATCAGCAAGTCCCGGTACTTCCGGACGGAAGCGGGAGAGCAAGGGACGTCTATGTCGGCAGCCTTTGGCTATAAAGGAGATCAGCGAAGATCCGTATGTTCTCTCCACCATGATGTAGCTCGAATGGTGTGACTCAGATCGCCGGGGGCACCGAAGTGTTGTAGGCGAACTCGATGTCGGGAAGCCGATCAACCCAATCTTTCTGCTCAGGACGGATGAGCGTACGCAACATCATCTCAGCGGTCTGGTGCGCTCGCTCCGTCTGACCATCCGTCTGCGGGTGCCGAGCCGAGCTCGGCTTCATTGTCCTGCCGGACTCAGTCATGAGAGAAGTCCAAAAGGCCGACATGAAGCGAGTATCTTGGTCGCTCACTATATC